TTCTCAAAGAATAGTTGTGACTGTCGAGTATGCCTTAACGGAACAACGAAATTTACTTGGCATAACAATTTTTCACAAATAATGTCTCCATTAATTATTTTGTAGAGGAAAAGTAACATTGCATCCCTGCGTCTCCGTTCAAGAGTTTGCATACCACAGAGTAGCAGTCTCGTTTCATACGATAAATCCCGATATGGAAAGTGAAACTTAAATAGCAAATATTTACAAAATTTGTTTTGAACTCGTTCAATTCGGTTGACATAAATAGCTTGTGACGGAGACCAAACAGTACTGCAATACTCTAAAATACTTCGGATCAAACCACTGTACAAACATGTTATTGCTTTTGTGTCTTGTATATGCTTTGTGCTTCTTTTTATGAATCCTAATAGCCTAAACGCCCTCAGAATGATAGTATCAACATGTAAAGAAAAGGATAATTCCCTGTCGAATATTACCCCTAAATCATTAAATGTGGAGACGCTCTCCAGCATAGTATTATTAATAATGTATGAGTTTTCGACGGGGTTAGAACGTCTGTAAAATGATATAACTTTACATTTTGATATGTTTAGTTCTAAATAGTTAGAACTGCACCAAGAGACAAATTGATCTAAATCAGACTGTAGGGCGTTATAATTAGGTTCCACAATATTAAAAAATTTTAAATCGTCAGCATATAAGAGACAATGAGAATTTTTAAAACAGGACACTACATCATTTATACATAACAAAAATAAAATAGGGCCAATATGTGAACCCTGGGGTACACCCGAAGAAACTGTCACTTCCCGCGACACAGAACCATTCACTGTAACACGCTGCCGACGGTTAAGGTGATTACAGCACCCCCTTATAATTTTCGGACAAGGATATCTCAAAAAGTAATTTTTTTAGAAAATTTAAATTTGGGCAAAATATATTAGGCAATAATATCTAGAAGCTGCATATTTTTTAAAGTTTAATTCCTTTCAGTTTCCGGGAAAAAAAATTAAAGGGCTTTAAATTTTGAAATATCATAATGAAAATAAATGCATTTCTCAACAGCACTATTCTTAATATAATCCCCAAATTTAAGCTCTTAATCTCTTGTTAATGATTTTTTAAAATTCGCCGAAATTAGTGGCTAAAACGCCTCGTTAAGTGCTTCTTTCTAGTGTAACGCGTCTGTAACTATCGTATCGTACACTCTGAGTCATCATTCGTTTCTTGCAATGATTTACACCAGTTTACACCAGTTTACACCAGTTTACACCAGTTTAAACCAGAAAATAGCACTTAACGAGCCCTTTAAGCCACTAATTTCGGCGAATTTTAAAAAATAATTAACAAGAGATTAAGAGCTTAAATTTGGGGATTATATTAAGAATAGTGCTGTTGAGGAATGCATTTATTTTCATTATGATATTTCAAAATTTAAAGCCCTTTGATTTTTTTTCTCGGAAACTGGAAGGAATTAAAATTTTAAAATATATGCATATTTTAGATATTATTGCCTAATATATTTTGCCAAAATTTTAATTTTTTAAAAAAATTTCTTTTTGAGATATCCTTGTCCGAAAATTATAAGGGGGTGCTGTAATCACCTTAATAAGATAGGATTTAATCCACTTAAGGTAATTGACTGTTATCCCAATTTCAGATAGTTCCTTTAAAAGTAACTGCTGACATACACTATCGAACGCCTTAGAGAGGTCGGTGTTAATTGTATCAACTTGGTAACCAGCTTCAACCGAAGAGGTAATAAACTCCTGATAAATAGCCAGATTAGTAGTTGTTGAACGGCCTCTGAGAAGCCATGCTGATCATCTATTATGTAATTCTTAAACGTGTAAAATAATTCATCTGTTAAAATTGATTCCAACAGCTTAGGAATTGCTGATAGCATAGAAATGCCTCGATAATTTTTTATGTCTGATTTATCCACGGACTTAAAAATTGGAACCAAGTTAGAATATTTCCATCTGGACGGGACATATCCTCTGTCGAATGATCTCTGAAAAATTGTGCACAGTGGTGCAGATAAAGCAGGGCACTTCTTGGGAAGGATAGGTGGTATTCCATCTGGACCAGAACCTTTGGAAGGACCGAGATCCAACATTTTCTTCTTTATTTCATTTTCTTTAAAGATGTGAAATGAGAGATGGGAACCAAATTTGACTGATTCCAAGTGATTTAAGTCAAGAGTGCTGTGGTTACTGCAGCAAGACTCAAAATGTAGTGCAAAAGTATCAGCGATAGATGAAGGTGTTTTTAAAGTATAATTGTTGTATTTCATGATAGACGGCATATGTTCTGTACGTTTTAGGCTATTAATAAATGTCCAAAAATATTTTACATTTTCAGGAATTACATGTTCAAAATTGCTAACAAAAGTAAGGTAGCATAGATCAATGCGATATTTTACCTCACGTCGAATGTCGGAATATGTTTTGTAGTCTGAAGCATATCCAGTCCTTTTAAATTTATTATATGCTCTGTTTTTTCCAGATATTAGTTTTCTCAGAGGGCCATCACACCATTTTGGATATTTTTGGTTTTTTATTTTTCTTTTAGGAACATAAGTCAATGGCCTTAAAAAGGTGTTTATAAAACATATCCACCATTACATCGAGATCGACAGTACTGTATAAAAAAGACCAATCAGTTTGTTTCAAATATAAGTTAAGTTTAGTAAAATCTGCCTGAGGATACTGATATATCAATAGCTCATGATTAATTATCATAGGGCCAGTGAAACTAAAACTTAAAATTGTTTCTAAACCAGGATGATGGTAAGAATCTAAAGGTAACAAAGGCATTTGAGATTCTATTACAGAAATGTCATTAAAATCGTCTGCAAAAATTAAGTCCAGGAATCTTCCACGGCTGTTACGGATGGAATTCAATTGCTGAAACTCGAGAAAAAACATCGATTCAACTAAAACTGCAGCCGACTGCATCGGAACTCGATTGGGGACAAGTACATTATCATCTAAATGCCACTGAATGTCTGGAAGATTAAAGTCTCCATATATAATAAACTTAGTAAAAAAGTATTTTCGTAAGTATTTTTTAAATTTTCACAGGTGTCGCAGAAGGATTGATAAACTTCAGAATTCGAATTTGGGGGAAAGTAGACATTACCCAAAATAAATTTAAAATTTTCACTTTTGATATGAACCCAAATGTCATCGTAAGACGCTATCTTAGGTGTGGATAATAAAGAAGTTTGTATAGTTGATAGTACTGCAACAAGTACTCCGCCGCCACGTTCACATTCGAGTTGATTGTATAACCTATCGCGTCGAAAAACTGTATATTGATTGGAAAAGAACTCAGAATTAACAAAAGTATCATTTAGCCAAGTTTCAGTTAAAGTTACAACTTCATAGTTACAGGAATTTGAACTCAAGAAAAGTTGGTTAGTTTTTGTCCGAAGCCCTCTGACATTCTGATAGTAAATGGAAATGAATGTATTTTTCACTTTATTGTGATTATTCACAGAATCGATGCAAGGGGAAAATTTATCTTCTCAGATGAAATTGACACACCCGACAGAGAACAAGGTTCAGAATTGGAGATAGAAGTCTCATTCATTGAAACTGATGAGGAATTGCATGTATGTGAAAGCAAGTCTCCGCATATTGATTGCACTAAATAAGTTTTTTCGTCGTAGAACAAAATTCCATTCGAAGTAAAGAAGTTAACGGGTACAAAATTTACAGAGTTTTCAGGCTTCAGTTTGAGTTTCGAACAAAATGAAGAATTTTGTTTTTGAATTAGTCTATTCAATACAGGTCTATTTCTAAATAGAGGAGAACCAAACACAATAAGATTAGTATCCTTGCAGATATTTAAAAGCTCGTTAATATGGCCGTCTTTGATTGATTTACCGGATACAGCCATTTGAGAGCCCCAAAAAAGAATAACGTAGTCACTTTTAGTCAATGTTTTCATTAGGTTAGAGCCATGCTTTAAAATACATGGCGTTCCTTTTCGTATTAAAGCAAAATAAATTGAGTAAAAGGTACCTACAAAAATTTATGTTAGGTATAGTTATACAATAACTATTAGGAGTAATTATTTATAGTTGAATAAATATATATCTCAGAGTCCCCTTCTTTGTTAAAAATATAATATTAAAATAAGGTTAATTTTGTTTAAATTATTGTGCTCTCTTCTATATTTATTTTTTCCTTAGTGTATGTATATATAATATATAATTTTAGTCAAATGATGACCGAGGCGCATGTGCACCTTCACGAAATCTTAATAGACTTCACATGACTTCTATATACTTCATCATGACTTCCATGGACTTCACCCTGACTTCCATGGACTTCTTCCTGACTTACATGGACTTCATCATGACTTCCATGGACTTCATCATGACTTCTATGGACTTCCTCCTGACTTTCAAGACTTCTCACTAACTTCAAAGAACTTCAATGGACTTCCTCAGCGGTTTGCCCCTCGATTTTATCTTCATACCAAATCCTAGGTAGGTAACCATCTTATAATCGCACCCTCTTGTTATCATTTTGGTTTTTCCATGGCATTAGTAATCTTCAAGAAGATGATATAGCGAATAACCCTTAGATTATAGATTTCTTGAATCAAAAATGTCCAAGAAGTCTATGATGAATAACGATTTAAACAATTTAATGTAGGTACCTTATAGTCAAATTTATAGGTCCTGAAAAATATTTGTCATATACCTTGTTGTTAATTTACTCAAACAGATAACTACCATTTACCTACCTAACAATTGCAAATAACTCAAAAAACATTTTGTAAAGTACCTACATACCGAAATAATACTCAATAATTCATATTCAGAAAAAAATATATTTTTAAATGATGAGTTTATGTACCCCGTAAATAATAATATAGGCACCTGAAATTTCCTGATCTGACAGACTTATTACTCCGGCTCGGTCACGAATCTACTATAATTTATTATTGTTTGAATAAATTGATGTCTATTTAGCGACTAAATTAGAAACAAAATTACTTACTCTTTAAATTCAGAATGATTTTCCTGATCACTGCCATACGAAAAACTGGACACTGCCGAATCGCTACTGTTCTCATCATAAAAAAACAAATCACTGCCGGTCGATGATCCAGTCGTACTGCCGTTACTGTTACCGTTCGCGTGCACGAAATGATTTCCTTCGAAAAAGTACTGCCGATTCACCACATCCAAATCCAGATTTTCCATAGCTGCGCACATTCTATTGGCCCGACATTTTGACTCATTCAAAAAGTTTCTGTCTTCCTCGTTTATGTTAAATAATTAAAGGATAGAACGGCGTTTTGACATATCAACAAACACAACTTAATTGCCCGTATCGTCACAGCACACTTTGACAATTACCGAAACAAGGTGTAAACAGTTTCAGATTGCGTACGCGTGACTGCCACGTGTTATGTTAGAAGGAGCACGTGTCAGGAGCAAAGGGCGACTGAGTAGAATCCTGGAACATAGAGAGGAGCATCACTATCCTGCGTCCTGTGTGAGAACGCAAGGTTAATGCCGCGTTCTGATACGTCGGCGGGTCGTTTGGGGTGTGTAGCCACTCCCATTGTGTTCGTGGGTTTGTTTTATTATCGATTAAATTATTTTTTTTTTCAAAAATAAATTATTTCTCTTTTTTAACTACTTTCTCTTCTGTGGCAAATCAATGAAAACCATAATAAAATATGAATTTATCGCTCTATTTATCGCCTTTTAATTATACCTATCTATTTTTTTAATTTCATGACAAACATCCTGTTTTTCATAAATTGTTGAAAGAGGTCATACGTACAATTTAATATAGAAATTAAAATAATTATTGGCAACAACTATCCTAAAGAAATACACAGTTAATTTCAGAAAACAGAAAAGCCAGGAAAAGATGGTAGCAAACCAAAGTCCTGAAAATAAGATTATATACAAAGAGACCGTCGCAAGAACTAAAAAAGAATCTTTTAATTCGTGAATTTACAAACTACAAAGTTATGAATACTTGCTTTGGCAAGCAATAAAGAAATTGAAGAGATCAATCACTCAAATTTCCCCACAGAAGAAGGAGGATATGCTAAAGACAATAAACAAGAAGCGGAATGTTTTGTAAAACAGCAGAAAATATTCCAACCTAATGAATGAGATATTTAAAATGACGTAGACTAGAGGAAACATTAATAGAATAGGAAGATGAGATAATACATAAAAACAAACATACAGGATAAGTACTGAAGAAACTCCCCAAGAAAAGGCATTGACCAACTTACAAATCTGATGAATGCATCTATTACAGTCTAAATAAAAGTGGAGTGCAGTAAAAGTGGGGATATAACGTTACATTCAGTGGCGGCTGTGTTAATTTAAAAAGGGTGTTCACTTTTTTCGGTTCAAAACTTTGTACAAGTGCCAATATCGCTGTTTTTTTTTTATTTGGGTTTATATTAAGTGTAGTTATTATTATTATTATTATTATTATTGTTGTTATTATTATTATTATTATTATTAATATTTTACTATTTGCAAGTACTACAACTATCAATGAATATTTTAGTTATTGTAATACAGTGCAACCTCTTTAATCCGAACACCTAATTGTCAGACCTTGTTCGGATTATCGAATTGTTCGGATTAGCGAATATACAATAAAACACCTCTTACACATTTTTAGACATTTAGATATATGTATGTATATTGACTTTTGTACATTTAAATGCATTATCAAACTACATATGGGCGACGCAAACATATTCTGAATTTATTAATGTTACTTTTAACCAACTGATGACGATGACATCAATTTTTCTATTGCGTTCATAAGCATTTCATTAGGGGGAGGGCAACGGACTTTTTCCATAATTTTTTTTGTGTCTGTCACTTTTTGGCATTAAAATAGGAAACTATGGAAGTTTTACTCAAGAACAAGAGTTCGATGTAATCATTGGGCGATTATCAAAATAAATAATCGATTATTTAAAATAATTTAATCGGAAATAATCGATTAATCGGAAATAATCGATTAATCCAAAATAATCGATTAATCGAAAATAATCGATTAATCGAAAATAATCGATTAATCGAACATAATCGATTAATCGAAAATAATAGATTAATCGAAAATAATCGATTAATCGAAAATAAACGATTGGATAAACTTGTGGCTGGGATGGTTAGTACTAATTCACACAACTTGACGACTTCACAAAGGGACTTAATTAAACCAGTTGTTATAAGAAAATTTAACACATTGATGGGCGTCTTTTTATCACTAATTTCAGTTGTTTCATAAACAACACTTAACTGGGACTTTATTGCTGGAATATCGAAAAAATTTCCATAATTTAATTTTAGTGAATTAAAAGCTTCCAATGGAAATTTTGATGAATCGTAGTTACTAATATTAAAAATACACAATTCAACAAATTTTAATTCACTAAAGTTTTGAAATCGAGAATTCATTTGTTGTAAAATATTATCAAAAATTTCGGCGTATAATTGACGATAGGAAGTCTCTCTTTCGAAGACATTATCAATTCTAATTCTCTTTCTTTCAGGTTCTAAGCCAATGTTTTGAGTCTTATTCCAAAAGTGTTCAAACTGATTTCGTTTTTTATTCATTTTATTTTTAAAATCATCAATTTGTTTAATACAAAAGCCAATGTCATTTGACTTTGTCTGTAAAATGTCGAATAAAAGGGAAAATCTCTGCAAAAATGTGCAAAAAATTGAAATCAATGTTTTGTTTGAGCCAATGCAAATACCCTTTAGCGGCAGTAACAGTTTCAGCATCCCATGTTTTTTTATTATCCCAAACGTCTTGAAAAAAGTGTATCAAAGCATCACGGTATTGAAACACGGTTTGCACCAAACGTCCATTGTAGTTCCATCGCGTCGGAGCAACTTTTGGAAACTTTTTTTTAACGTGAATGTCCAAAGCGTGAGTTCTTTTCGATGACTTTGAAAAGAAAGAAGCCAAACCACTAAGCGTCGAAAAGAAAACTTTGCAATCTTTAATATTATCCATGCTTCGCGATAACACCAAATTAAGTCTATGTACTATACTGTGAACGAAAATTGCATGTTTAAACTTCTCTTTCACTTTAGCTTGAAGGCCTCCTAAATGGCCAGCCATTACGGCAGCACCATCATAGCTTTGGGCAACAAGCTTAGAACCACATTCTAAACTTGAAATAATGTCAAACAATTTTAAACAATGCATTTGCAGTTCGTTCGCTAGTGACGTCCTAAAATCCTAAGAATCGTTCTTGAGGAATGCCATCCAATACATATCACACAACAATGGATAATTCACTTAAGTTTGCTACATCTGTGGTTTCATCAAGCGCAATTGATACGAAAGGTGCTTTTTTAATGTCACTTTTAATGTGATCCATCACAACGTCGGCAATGCATTTAATTAAATCATTTTGGATTCTGTTTGACGTACCTCGGAAAGTCGTCGAATCAATAAAACGATTTTTTAGGGTATCATCGTATTTTGCTAAAAAACTTATAGGCTCCATGTAATTTCCTCGATTGGCGGATCCACTTGCTTCATTGTCAACCCTAAAACTTAGTTCATGCTCTCCCAGGAAACAAGTTACATCTATTAATCGTTGTAAGACGTCCCTATTTTTTTACCCTTTCATTACGAATTTTGTTGCTTATTTTTAAATGATTGTCCAAACTATGTTCAATGCGATAGGTCCCGAATGTTTTTTCTTTAATTGTAGCACTTATATGAGATTTGCTATTTTACATGTCGTTTTACACTTATATGAAAATTATTCAAGTCTGTAATACCGACTGAGTTCCAATGTGTTTTTTCGGCTATATTAAAAAGTAGGCAAGGCCAGCAAAACAATTTATTCAAAGTTTTGCAGCCGGTTAACCATTCATACTTTTCATAGAACCCTACGTGAAAATGCCTGGTAAATTTCTTTGCTGACTTTTCTACTTTCGTCTCTAAATTGATAGGATCCTTTAATCTACTAAAATTAATAATGTCCATTTTCTCTTCAAAATTTCTACTTGAAAATGCTTTTTTCAATAAAGAGCACACAATACAGACACAATTTACCACATTATTATTGTTCACAGGCACAGTGCATAGTTCCTCCATTTTACAAAAAGAAAAACAACTACGAAAAACAAACCGAAATCTATCTGAAGTCTACGATTTTCCTCTCACGTCGATTCGCGGTGCGAATTGCAATATGCGTAAGGCGACGTAAAAATCGCTGCCTCTCGACCGTATTTCACGTGTCCAAACAGATTGACTACCGTTGCCGCAAAACAGGGTCAATAACACGAAGCGAAATCAATTGGAAGATCAGCCGGATTTTTCAAGACGCGCTTCCGCCGATGTACTTGAAGTACCTATATGGTGTGTGCGTTTACACAATTAATTTTCTCATGGGTGGTGCGTGCGTTTACACATTACACCAATGAATTGTTAGTACATTTACGAAGTTTACATAACGTTTTAGAGAAAATATAGTACCTAATTTAATATTAATTTCTATGCATTGTAAACTGAAAAATATTTATTTATAAATCTTAAAGTGTAGGGAAGCGGTGCTTCCCCCGCTTCCATGGACCGCGCGCCCCTGCTACACACACACATACATACTACAATGCTACAATTACATTATTAGATTACGTATTTGTAATGAATTTACAAAAATGTTGTGTAAGTATACCTGGAACTCTTTGAATTACTGGATTTTCATTTCCGTTCCATAGGTCATAAAACTTTTGTTGCCACTCATTTAATTTTATTTTCTTATTTCCATCATATCCGTAATTTTCTTTATTTTGCTTTCCTGATTATTAACTTTTTTAATACTTGTTTAATATCTAAGTTTTGTTTTGTATTGCTGTTTTAAATCTCCGTTAAATCTTTCTGCAGATTTAATAGAAGGTGTCATTTTTTTTCCAGAATAATCTTATGATCTTCTAGCATTATAACAAAAGCTAATTGTAAGTCTTCATTTTGGGACTCTTCTTCATGGGACATTTCTTCATCTGATGACATTTAGCACAACCACTTTAATACTTCAAATAAAAATCTGATGTGTCCAACACATGACTTTCCTATCTAGTTATTACAAGCTTTTTCCGGTTATTTTGAACAACCTATTGCAGCACCTCTATAAATGTTTAGAGGAGGATAAACTGAATATATACATTTTCCACATACATCTACCTCGAAACATTTTTTTATA